CTAGGAAGGTCTAAATAACAACTTTTCATGTCCCTCAATAGAAACACTGATTATCCTACATGTAGATGACAGTCCTTGCCAAAGAAAAAAATGCAACATAATCGGGTATTCTTAGTTCTAAGAATTCATATGCAGTCATCCAGATGAAGATGGCTGTTTTGACTAAACATTCGAGTACATCCTCTCTATAAATTCCATTAAAATGCCAGTAAAGAGATCTTTCTAGAAGACACAGACCCAAGGACTTAGAGAACAAGAGTAGAAACTACAACAAAAGCATGGAAGTGGGAAGCAGATGGACAAGTAGCAACTTAGCAGACATAAAAGAGTGAATGAAATGATAAACCTTCAGTGAGCATTCAGTGAGCAAAGGGAAGCACTCCAGTTGAATCAAAAACTGCAGGTGAAAGGGGGGCAGGCTAATGTCAAGTTAGTAAAGGCTGTGTGAGAAGCCCCACATCCATGGATGCCCTTCCCACCTCCTCACTGTAGAGATCTGACCGACAGTCCCAGAGCCCAGCAAGACTAAAGACTGATTCTTGGCACAGTGAGTCATTGGACTATGAGAGCAAGGGAACCTTCCCCAAAGTGACTATACAAAGAGGATGCTAAGACACCAACCAGGTGCCTCCTTAAACACTGGCAGCTGGACCCTTTTCTCTCTGCAGGGCTTTGGGAGATTACTCTCTGACCAGCACAATAGGAAAGAGCCTACAAATGGCCCCAGTGAAAAACAGAAGAAACAGTAACAGTCAAAAGGCTGCCACTGGGGAGACTAAGGGGATGGATGGGTTAACGGTAGGGACCCTTATTTTACAATAAGCCTTTCTACTTGTACTCTTAAACTATGTGTATGTATTAGTTTTAAGATAAAATAACAATCTCTATCTGAAATGACATGTGCATGCAGTTACGGTTTTTTTAAAGAATAGTGTGATTGCTCTACCAGATATTGCGATGTATTCCAAATCTATAATTTAAAAAAATCAATCTGGCATTGATTAAGATTAAAGATAATGCATAGATGAGTAAGACCTAAAACAGAGTCAGACCCCAAAACCAGTTAAGATCTTAAAATATAAAGGAAAAATCACTAACCAATGAGGAAAGGATACACAATTTCACAAACCAAATGGTGCTGGTAGAACTGGCTAGTTGGGGATAAGGTAGTATAAGACAAGTCATATCCATACACTAATACAGAATTAAATATAAAAATCTAACATATTTCCAAAATTCTTACTTCGCTTACTTGACCCTCTGGGCTTTCCAAACATAAACGTTTACAATGAAAAATCATAAAGGACAAGATTAGAAAGAGCTGATTATATAAAAGTGAAAATATTTTGTTTGAAAAATACCATAAAGTAAATTAAAAGACAAATAATGAGCTGTGGGGGATAATCACTACAAATATGATAAAGGTACAATACTCTATATAAAACAGGTACTGAAAATCACTTTTTAAACAATCAATTAAGAGTGAAATGGGCAAAGTACCTGAATAAACTCTCAAAAGGTAAAACTAATAAAAAGCTACCGTATTTTACCATGGATAGTGCGCACTTTTTTGCCCAAATCTGTGAGGGAATAATAAGGATGCATATTATACATGGGTAGTATTAATTCCATATCTATATACGTGTTTTTAATTCTTTTATTTATGCATAATTATGAGTTAAAAGTGTAACTCTAGATAGAAATCAGTAAGGATAGCCGTATGCAAAATAACACCCTGGAATATAATAATCAGTTTTGTTGAACTTATGATGAACTTGCATCGAAGAGTTCTTGGTCTTCTATGATGCGTAAATATTGTAAATTTGTTACTGGTACATAAAATTTCTTGTACCTTGTATCTGTTCTTGTAATTATTTGTTACATAAAACTTCTTGTACCATAATATGTTAAAAAATAAATGCTAAAATTCCTTTATAATACAAAAAGCAAGTACCTAAATGTAAACAAATAAAAATTTGCATTAAAAAATTAAAATGAAAGATTTTTTTCCTGAAAGTTTGAGCCCAAAATGTGAGTGCACATTATACAGGGGAGCATAGTACACATGGCAAAATACAGTAATTACTAATTTCACTAGCTACCAAAAATATAAATTATGACATTTTTATAGAAATTTAGGAAAAATTAAACATTGGACTGCTGACACCATGGCAAGACCATTCAGCACTTAAGGGAATCAGTTGTCTTGGCATAAGCAATTTGGCCATATGCCTCAAGAGTCATACAAGAGTTCACCACTGCCCCAGAGTTCTTCTATAAACTAGCTCAAGCAAGTCAAAGATACTGAGACTTTCAGGCAAGGGCATTTATCCCAGCTCTGCCTAAGTGCCTATTACTGACTCTTGACAGACTCTGTTGAGGACCTTCCTTTATTTGGTTCATTCCATCTCTCCCAATCTCTACTTCGCAGCCATCATTATTACCCTCATTCTATACAATCATATAGAAACACAATTGGGTAATTAAAGTCACTTAAATGGGAAGTGGCTCAGCCAGGATTTGCAACCAGCATTGAATACCATATTCTCAACCACTAAAAATGGAAATATGTCAAACAATAGAAAACTATTAAACTTGGACATATCCATTTTTAAAAATCTTATTTTAAAGGAAGATTTATGGTCACAGGAAATGTCCGTGCTGTATTAAGTGAAAGGGGAATATTTGAAACTACAGATGGAATTAAAATGTCAATTTTGCTTAAAAATAAGTCTATGCAGACAAATATAAAGGGACAAATGGAAGAACTTCATCCCATGAACACCTGTGTATTTCTGAATGATGTGATACTGATTTTTATTTTTTTTTGTACTTTTGAAAATGTCTACAACAGGAATAATTGCTTCTTATTTTAAAATGTTTTAATACCACAGAAACAATAGAAATTCTCAGCTGCAGTTGCTTAAAAGACCTCAATTTTTAAAGATGTGATGAAAACAGGAAAGATTAGGTGACAAGTTACTATCTTAGCAACATGGCATTACTACTGAACAAGTTCCCTCAAATTAGAGGGTTTTCCATCACTATTCTTAGAGTAAAATGGGGAAAAATAGCCTTGTAGAACTTGCTTGAAAGCCCAGTTAACTGAAATTTAACTGGCACATAAAACAAGAGATATTAGCAAGAATAAACCTCTTCAACATCCAATATATGCTTGGAATCACTGGACTACTAAAAGCATTTTGAAATTCACTGATTGAATTCCGATTATTATTTACAGAGTAAAGTTTGAAAGGTTTCAAAAAACAAAAAAGCCTGACACAGGTAAATAATATTTCTGCACCATTTTGTTAAGAACATTTTTTACAGTTCCTTACAAGGTAAACTGGAATTAGATGGCCACCTAATATCTATCTGTTTTGAGCATAAAAGAAATAACATTTGAAAAAAAAACTATCTTTGCTTGGATGTGTGTGTTGGGGAAGGGAATTTGAGTGGGCGAATTTGTAGACAAACTGTCTTTGTTACTTTGAAGTGTAACATTACAAGTGGTTTAACTTTTTTGTAATGAATCACGAATGGCAAAGTACTTTCTAGGAACAAAATAACTTAAAAGCTGACAATGGTATATTTTGCCACAAATTATCAAAGGTTTTTTGCATGGCTGGAGGATTATGCTTCATTTTTAAAATTTCTCAAATATAAGACCTTAGGACTTTAGAGAAATAATGCATACAATTCTTAGGTTTGTGTACCCCAAAGGAAACCTGTTTTTTTATTTTTATTTTATTGTTTCCACCTCATTTTCGAACTTTGTTAAACAAGTTTTCAGAGCAAAGACTGGGAAAGGACAAAAATAATTTTCAGGAAACAGCCTTTAGCAGGTATCGCCCCATACAACAGCGTTAATAAATAATTCTGTAATTACTTAGAAAGAAACAAGAACTGTATGAGCTCACCCTTACCTGCGCTAAGGCCAAGAACTGAAAAGCGTGATTCAAAATCTTCAGAAAAGGAAGTCCCTATTCACAAACCCAAAGGTACGGACTCGCCCACTTCCCCCGCCGCCGGGAAGATCGGTTGCTATGGGAACCCGCAGTAACCCTTCAAAGCCAGTACAGTCTGGGCCAGGAGGGTCCTCCCAGAGGCTAGGGGGATAGTTGAAACAGGGGAGCGGGAGAAGGGTGAAGAGAGGGGGGTTGAGAGCGGGTTGAAAGAAGAAACCCCCTGGCTGAGGCAGGGGTCAGAGGAAGTGGGTTTAGTAACCCCAACAGAAATTCAAAACACCAGTTAGAAGAATGTCTGAACGCTGGAGTCATATAATAAATAGTTCAACTGAAGTTTGAACCAGTAGAGACACTTCCCTTCGTCCCCAGTGGGAGACAAACCACCCTTTGTGAATTCCTGTCTATGGAAAATGAAGCTATGGAGTTTCACCTCATCAATTACAAACTGAACGATACTTTGTAAAACTAAAAGTTTGACTTTCATATATTAAACCAGTGGTCCCCAAACTCTACTGCACACTTCGGTCTGTTTAAAATATACGTTGAGTTTTAATTAATCTGGGATGTGATTAGAGCATAGAGTTTTAAAACTCCCCTAAGATTCTCTTGTGCAATTTTAGCAACTACTGTATCACACGATTTGGCGAGGTGGCGGAGAATATTTAAAAAAAGAAAAGAAAAAGATAGCACAATTGTCTCTCTGTCTTTTTAAGGCTAATAATAGAATTAGCTAGCTTTTTCCAAGCACACACAGGACAATAGGTTGCTTCATAAATAGCAATCCCCAGAATACCCTAACAATACTTCCTTTGAGATAAAAAGACCGGGCAGTATAAGTCCTTTCTTCCCAAGAGAGCAAACATCCTTCTTACCCAAAACACCGAACTTAAACATCTATTTTAACAATGAATGGGCCATGAATGCCGCTGAGAACCTAGCGGACGAGCTCCAAGACCAGAAGGAAACTCAGTCTCCAGGAGCCCACCATCATTCGCCGGGGTGCTGCGCCGACCACGGCTGAGCACGGCTGGGATGTCGGTCCCTGGAGCCCCCTCGATAAAGTTACTTGTGGGAAGTTTGCTCCTGTTTCCAACCGTGCGCCTCCCGGGGCGAGGGGCGCGGCCCCCGCCACCTGCTCCGCACCGAGGCTCCTCCGCCATCTCCGGGGGTCTCGCGTCCCGCGGGCGCCGGTGCGGCTGCCTCGAGCCCGGGGGCGCTCGCCTCTTCCCTCCCCGGGGTCCCCTGGCTGCAGCTGGCCAGGCCCATTGGGCTGGGCGCCGGGACCCCCGTGCGGGCCCCGCACCGTCCAGCCTGGAGCCCTCGGGAAGCCTGCCCAAGCGGCCGGCGCTTCTCAAGCCTGGGCGGGGGTGCGAGGAGCCCCCGCGTCCGCAGGTCCGCGCCGGCCCGCGGCCCTGTCCCGGCCCAGCTGTGCTCGGCCCCTCCAGCCCGCGGCCGGGAGCGCGCCCCTGGCCAGGCGGTCCGGCGCTGCGCACGCGCGAAGGCACCCGCCAGCTCCCTCGCGGCGCCCTCACTCACCGCCCGCACTGCTCGTCGCCTTGGGCGCCGCCGCCGCCTGAGCTGCTCGCTGCTCGCCACCCCGACCAGGTGCCCACTCCTGAGACCCCGGCCCGGGCACTCGGGGATCTAGCGCCCGGCGGGCTCGGCGGGAACCCGCACGCAGGGCACGCTCCGCGGGGCCGCGCGAGCGCGCCAGGGCGCGGGGAGAGGGCGGGGCCAAGCGGGCAGCGCGCCCGGAGGAGGCCGTGGAGATGGGGCATGCGCACTGCCTGTCCCTTCTAGGGTCCATTTGCGGAGTGGGCGATCACCCTGAACCAGTGGAACGGAGGACAGTGGAAGAGGGCCAGGAGCGTCCCTCACTGAGAGGCAAGTTAGCCCTTGTCCCGCCAACTGAAGTGCTTTAATCTGGTTCATTCATCAATTAATGTGTTAAATATTTATTGAGCACCTACTTTGGCAGAGCCTCTGTGCAAGATACAGGGTATCCTACACTAATGGAGAACCCAATTACATTTGGGTTTGGGATTTCAGTTCCAGAATTGATCCCAGCCCTGTCTTTGAACAGATAAGGAGAGTGCATAGAGATCACCCAGTACCTAAAAGTGCAAACTTTAAATACACCCTAAGGAAAGGGGCATTGCTGCTGGCTGGGGTGGAAAGAAAAACTGAGAAGCCTGGTCTTCTAAGAGCTAGAAGATGAGTTCACCTGGCGAGAAAGGTGAATACAAAGGCATAAGTGGCAAAAAACATAAAATGATATGTAAGCTCATGAACCCTACTGGAGACAAATTTAATGAGTGTTTGTTCATAGTGAAGGGTAAAAACGATAGCTGGAGGGGTAGGTGAAGCTCATCTGGAAGTGATTTTTAATGCTTAACCTCAAATTTTTAGCTTTTTTTCAATGGGTAATCGAGAAATACTAAAGTTGGGTGGAGAGGGGCAGGTGGTAGAATTTAGGAATATAAAGACTAGAGACATGAGATGTTGTGTATACTCTGGGCAAGAAATAGTAGGGTCCTCAATTCAAGTGTTGGCACCAGGAGTGGAAAGCATGGAAACATTTTTAGTGATTGTGAAGGACAGGAGAATTCCTTAGCTTTATGACAGACACCTATTTCATTAGATTAGATCATAATCCTTGGTAAATACTTATTAGTGGATACATTGGACCTCTAAAATATGCAACTATAGTCACTAAGTGATTCTTTTACATGAATTTGGCCCTCAACTGTTAAGTTGAGAGGCATTGTATATAGTAAGAGACACATGGGCTTTTGAAAACAGAAACCCCTTTTATAAAGTCCTGATGCTCCAAAACAAACTGTTTGATATTGTGCAAATTACGTAATATCTCTGAACCTTACTGTGTTCATCTGTAACATGGAATCATAATATATACCTTGTTGATGATTAATTTTGTGTGTCAGTTTGGCCAGCCACAGTACTCCGATATTTGATGAAACATTCTAGATGTTACTGTGAAGATAGTTACTGAGATTAACATTTGAATCAGTGGACTTTGGGTGAAGCAGATTGCCCTCCAGAATGAGGGTGGGCTTCATCCAGTCAGTTGAAGGCCCTAAGAGCAAAAGACTGACCTACTGTGAGTAAAAAGTGATTCTGCTAACAGACTGCCTTTAGACTTGAACTGCTACTCTTTCCTGGGTCTCCAGCCTGCCTGCCCACCCTGCAGATTTTGGACTTGACAGCCTCCCTAGTCACGAGTCAATTCCTTAAAATAAGTGTCTCTCTATATATACAGATGGATGATGGTTGGATGAGTGGATGGATGGATAGATAGATAGATAGATAGATAGATAGATAGATTGATAGTATGTTGGTTCTGTTTCCCTGGGGAACCCTGACTAATATACCTTGCAAGGTTATAAATATTATATAATTTAATTATCATCTGAATCTGAAAAATGAGGATTATAATCTTAACCTGTCAGGTTATGAAAAATTAAAGTGGGTAAACCATCCAGCACATAGTAGGGTATGAATAAATGGCAACTACTATTATGTATGAATGAATACCCGAGGTGAAAACAAAAGAGGAGAGAAAGGGGATATTGGCACTGTGAAAGCATTTTCTCAGTTCACTGGGTAATGATATTAAATTTAAGAAAACAGATTTAAGAGATAACAGAAAATTGTGGTCTCCCTAGCTCTGACATGCTAAAAAGATGATATATGAATATTTTAATGATTTGCAAATAAATGCCAAATAAGCCATTAAATAAAGACAGACTCTAGCTGTACTCTTAAAACACACACCAAACGTGCAAAACAAAGATATGTATTCACATCTGAACATTTTTATTCCAATTTAAGTGCCAATTCAATTCACTCTAGTTGCTACTAGGAAGGAAAAAAAACCTAAGAAGAGCTTACCTTTGAAATAATTCCCACTCTCAGAGTAGGTGCATGATATAGCACTCAATCAATGTGTTTATTGAATTCCTTCTGGGGCATGCCTATAGCTATTGGGAGCATGTAAAAATGGGTAAAATATTCCATTTAATCTACAAATATTGCCATTTATTATATCCTAGGCAACATCCGTGCCCTCAAGGAATTGATCAAATCACCTAGAAAAAAAAATGACTAACCATAACTATAAGGCAGAATGTGGCAAGTACCTTAGGAGGAACATAAACGATTGAACCAACTGTACCTTGTTAAGGAAGTTGATGCTGGGGGCTCACTCTCCTAACCCCACTGCCTTCGTGGCCCCCAGCTTTGCACAGTTTGGTGTAGTGCAAGACAGTGGGGCTGAGCGGCATGTTTTGAAAATGTGGATAAATGTCAACGAAAGTAACATTTTAATTCCACTGACCGACTTGCTGCAAAGTTCACAGGATACAGTAAGAGACGGGCAGGAGAGGCATTTAGAACCATTTGGAAGTAAAACCTCCTTTTTTTTGTTTTCCCTTTCTGTATTGTCCTGGTTGTGTTTTCCTTTAAACGAAATTTTAATTTTAGAGTTAAAAACAAACAAACAAAAACATAAATATCCCTGACCTAACAGAGATTTATGAGGAAAATACATAAAAACTAACATGAAAATAAAAGGTGGGGTTTGGGTTTGTAAAAGGACAAGGAATGATTGCGTGGGGCAAAGATGACCATCATGTTTGTACTGTAACCAGTGGTGTCATAACGTGACCGTCTTCCTTTTGGCTGAGAATGAAATATTGCACCATGGGTGAGAGTACAACTCCACGTTTGACAGAAGCAAGTGATCTGGGGAAAACACCCTGCATTTCAGTAATCCTTAAATAATCAGGATGTTATTTTATTAGGAGAATTTGTGAAGATATTCATTTCTGGAGCTTTACCACCATGAATGGGAAATAAATTAACCTGGGTTTAAAAGAAACTCTATACTAGAAAAGGAAGAGTTTTAATAAAATCAATTAACATCCAGCCATGGATGTTAATTATCATCTGATGAATAATAATAATGATAATAGGAGATATGAAATAAGTTAAAATACATCCTAGGTTAGATTATGTTTTTAAAAAATTACAAATCTTGGAATTGTGCCTTATCAACTTAATCAATGTGCTAGCATTAAATGGTTTAAAATTAGACTTACAACACAGTTAGCTCTGCACTATTCATAAGCAGCACTCTCCATGATCTTTTTTATTAATGCTATTCAAAATAATTCAACCTTGTCGGTATCACAAATAGAATGTTGCCCACTCAGTAAAGAGAATGGCAATATAAGTGTTTCTCACTACAAGAATATTTGATCATGAAAAATGCAAATTTAATAACATGGTTAGCGGGCACAATATTGGTTATTCTTTACTGATTCTACCTCCCTCCTCTCTTCAATATTTTATCCCACTGACAAAATGTGATTGACACATCTTTTCAATAAGCTGACTTTTGCACATTTTAGTTATACCTGTATTTTTGAATCCTAAATGAACTTTATATCATTATGAAACTTAAAATAGTAAATAGAGTATAATCATAAAAAATAAATGCATATAAATTATTTTGCATAAGCAATGACAAAAACAGTGCAACAAACCCAATATTTGGTTACAGAGGTTTTTTTCTTTTAAAATGAACCACCTATAACACACTATATCCAGTTTTCCAGAATGCAAACAACATGCTTCATTAAGCAAGGTTTTGTAAAGTCACACAAATATTAAAATAATTATTTCCATACCTTATATTCTAGTTCAGTGGGACAGTTTAGGTCAGTGCTATCTAATAGAAAGAAATGTTAGCCGCAAAAGCAAAAGAACATATATAATTTTAAATTTTCTAGCAGTCACATATTAAAAAGTAAAACAAAACAGGTGAAATTGACTTTAAGTGTATTTTATTTAATCCGAATACCCAAAATATTATCATTTCAACATGTAATAAATATTTTAAAATTCACGACATATTTTACATTTGTTTTAATACTACATCTTTGAAATCTGGTGTGTATTTTTAATTTACAACTCATCTCAATTTGGACTAGCCAAATTTCAAATACAATTAGTGCCACATGTGACTATGGCTATCATATTGGACAGCACAGATCTAGGACTGGGTCATTGGTTCTCAGACTTGGCTGCGCATTGGAATCACCTGAAAAACTTGAAAAAATCTTGATGCTTGGGTCCTGGTCTCATGATTCTTGTGTATTTACTCCAAGGTGTCACTTGGGCATTGGGATACTAATGAGATTCCAAAGTTGTGGTTAATCTGGCCATGAGTTCAAATGTTACATGAACAATTCTAGGTGAGGATTTAATCTTGGTATGTGGTGAGAACTGTTGAATAGTGGCATTTCTGTATATGTTCTTTGGATTTTTTACTTTACATTTGTTTAGCAAATCTCGTAATAGAGAAACCACCTCTAACAATGGAACCTTTCCAAGATGCATACATTTATTTGATATGTTTAACTCTTGTGTTCAGTATCCTATTGCAAGTATAAGACCTGACCCACATTCATGACAACTATTTCCCATCTTGTATACCACTCCAGTGATTATTGGTTATCTGTACCTAATTTATTGGTTATATATAATATTGCTCAATAACAAACCACTCTAAGATTTAATGGCTTTAAAATAACAACCATTATTACCTCCATCAAGTCTACGGGTCTGCTGTGCAGTTCTGCTTCTGGGCCAGACGTGGCTAACCTTGCCTGCTCTCGCAAGCATCCACCACTTAGCTGGTGGGGTGCCTGCAGGCTGGTTGGTCTAGGATTATCTCAACTGGAACAATGTAACTCTGCTCCTTGTGGTCTCTTAAC